TGAAAAAGGAAACCCCCTTTCGTTGGGACAACAACTGCACCACAGCCTTTCAAGAATTGAAAGAGAAACTAACCACGGCACCCGTCCTAACCCTCCCCTCCAGGATGGAAGGATTCGAAGTCTTCAGCGACGCCTCCAAAAAGGGGCTGGGATGTGTACTAATGCAAAAGGGGAAGGTAATAGCATACGCATCTAGACAACTCAAAACCCACGAAGAAAATTACCCCACACACGACCTCGAGCTAGCTGCCATCGTGTTCGCCCTAAAAAATTGGAGACATTACCTATACGGAATACAATGCAAGATTTATACGGATCACAAAAGCCTAAAGTAGATCTTCACCCAGAAAGATCTAAACATGCGACAACGAAGGTGGCTGGAACTCATAAAAGATTACGACCTAGATATCCAGTACCACGAAGGCAAGGCTAACATTGTGGCAGACGCCCTAAGCCGAAAGACTAACCACTCCCTCAACGCCACCTGGATCTTACCAGACCAGCTATACAAGGACTTCCAGAAGTTGAACTTGGAGGTGGTAGAGCAAGGTTGAACCAACTCCGAGATCCGCCTATTCAATGCCAGAGTCATACCCACACTATTCGAAGAAATCAAGACCGGACAGCATCAAGACCCGGAACTACTTAAAATTCGGCTCGACCTAACTCAGGGAAAGGACAGACCCTTCAAAATATGCGAAGATGGCAGCCTCCGCTATCAAGGGAGGTGGTGCGTGCCCACGACGCACCCCCACCTGAAGCAACAAATCCTGAGAGAAGGACACAACTCCCCATACTCAGTACACCCCGGAGGCGACAAACTGTACCAAGATGTGAAAAAGATGTTTTGGTGGCCCAACATGAAAAAGGAAGTCGCAGACTTCATGGCCAAATGTCTGAACTGCCAAAGGGTAAAAGCCGAACGATGGAAGCCCAAAGGACTCGTACAGCCCCTTGAAATACCACAAGGGAAGTGGGACTCCATATCCATGGATTTTGTCGGAGGGTTACCCACAACACCAACCGGCAAGGATAAGATCTGGGTAATAGTGGACCGGCTAACCAAGACAGCACGGTTCATTGCTATGAAAAAAACATGGACAATGACGCAGCTAGCCCGGGCCTACCTGAACCGAGTAGTAAAATACCACGGGATCCCCCGAAAAATTGTGTCCGATAGGGATCCCAGGTTCCTCTCACAATTCTGGAAGTCTCTACAAACAGCCTTGGGGACACAACTGAACCTGAGCACTGCCTTCCACCCCACCACTGACGGCCAAACCGAGAGGACCATCCAGACTCTCGAAGACATGCTAAGAGCCTGCACGTTGGACTTCCAAGGAACATGGGAAGAACATCTAGACCTCATCGAATTTTCTTACAACAACAGCTACCACGCAAGTATCCGCATAGCCCCCTACGAAGCTCTGTACGGTCAAAAATGTAGAACCCCCTTATGTTGGGAAGACATGGTCGGCCCAGTAACACTAGGACCCCAATACTTACACGATACCATAGCTAAAGTCAAACACATACAAGAAAGAATGAAGGCCGCCCAAGACCGCCAAAAATCCTACGCCGACCAAGGAAAGAAACAAGCCGAGTTCACCCCCGGGGACAAGGTCTGGTTAAGGATCTCGCCCACTCGAGGGGTAATGAGGTTCGGGAAAAAGGGAAAACTCAGCCCCCGGTTTATCGGCCCCTATGAAATCATAGAAAGAGTCGGGAACCTGGCCTACCGCCTCGCCCTACCCATTGAACTGGAACAGGTACACAACGTATTCCACATATCCCAACTAAAGCAATATGTACACGATCCGAGCCACGTACTACAACCCGAGACCGCGGACCTTGACGATGCACTAGCTTACGAAGAAAAACCCGTAAGAATCCTGGACACCAAGACAAGAACCACCTGCCGACGAACCATAGAAATGGTAAAAGTCCTCTGGACCAACCATGGGACCGAAGAAGCAACATGGGAACTCAAAGACACAATAAAAGAACGCTACCCCGAACTCTTCACACCAGGTAACCAAGACGAAAGCATATGATAAGGGAAGAAGTTACTCGGCAAGGACCAAAGCTTCGGGGACGAAGCTTCTCGTTAAGGGGGGGAGAGTGTAACACCCCGTGTTATAGCCAATAAACCAATTAATTAATTATCCAGAAAGAAAGATTAAAATCTCTAGGAAAGGCCCACCCTAAGCCCATGAACCCTTATCCCTAAATCCAACTCCTTGGTCCTATAAGGAATAGGATTAATGAACCCATGCCACTTAGACCATAATTAGGACTCTTAATTATATAAATAGGGACATAGAAGGAACCTAGAACTCACACCACAAATAATCCCTCACCACACAAGAAAGTTCCAAGAACTCCCTTAGGAGAAATCAAGAAAGGAGGAATCTTAAAGAAAGACCCTTCATATCCAAGGAAATTAATTAAGGCTAAGAGGTAACCCATGTCTCAACAAAACCTATTTTCTTCGATATAATCTCCTTCCTTGGCCTCCCTCTATATTCTTGTGTCTTGATTGAATTCTTCTATGATAATTATGTTATGTTCTTGATGATTGATAAGATGATTTATATACTTTCTTGATAATCTTGATAATATTAATGTTGACAAGAAGTTTTTTATTATGATGTGATCATTCTTGACGAATCTTGATATTTTCTTGATGTTAAAGGTTAAACATGTTCTTGATGATTTGGGCGGGATTAGAGCCCTAGGTTGGATTGAGAATTTGTATTATGATGTTCTCGATTTGTATTTGGGAGGGAATTCGCATGTTCGGGTGTTGTTTACATTTAGGAGTCATAATAGGATAAGTCCCACATGATTCGTGCTTTTGATCCGTTAATTGCTTACGTGGTGTCGTTATTTGCATTTAAAAGTGTCTAAGCATGGTTTCGGGTTCCACAAAGGTCCCTGGGACGAATATTTAAGAAAAGAGTCAGTGGGGGGTAGGTGGGGGTGGGGGAACCCACCACCTACCCGCTGCCTAGAAGGGCGCTGCCCGGCAGCGGGCAGCCGGCTACCCGCTGCCCGGAACAGCGCCCACCGGCGGGTGACCCCCACCCACCGGCTACCCGCTGGTCCACACCCCACCCCGGGTCCCCAGCTTCCCCGTTTGATGTTCCCCGTCCCCCATGGTGTCACAACGGACCCCGTTTGTCGTGCCTGAGTCTAGTTTGGAATTTCGGGTACTATTCGTAGGTTAAACGAGTCTTAGGAATTGCATGCTAGTTGAATTAGTAACCCGTGGACCTAGGTGGAAGTTATATGAGCCCTTAGGAACTATTCTTAGTGTGTGAATGATCATATGTAAGATTAATTATATGTTCTCCCCTCCCTATGTGAATAATGTGTCATTATGTGCTATTGTGTGTTACATGATGCATGACCCCAACTTGGTTAAGACCAATTGGGCTATACAGGCAGTTGAATGGACTGAGAACCATCCCAACTGTTAACCAGGCCGGTTAAGATCGGTCAGGGATATTAATGTGATATAGGACTGAGGTCCACTATACGGGCAGTTGAATGGGTTGAGAACCATCCCAACTGTTAACCAGGCTGGTAGAGACCTGTCAGGTATATAAAGATTATGTATAGGACTGAAGGTCCACATGGGCCTCGGTGATATGACCCACCGACCAGGATGCGCCAGGCGGTATGGGGCCAACAAGCCGAGGAAGGTTGTAGTCCACCGACCTGAGTAATCAGGCGGTGTGTAGGACTACGACTGGCTGCGACCCACCGAGTGGTGGGACATCGGTATGTAGGACCGTAGTCTCCGAGGATCTTTGCCCACCGACTGAGTTTAGCTCAGCGGTGTATCGGGCTTGATCCGCTACGGCCCGCCGATTGTGCGCACCAACGGTGTGTAGGGTCGTAAGTCCCCCCTTGTAAAGGGGATCACGGTCCACCGACTAGGCGCGTCAGCGGTGTGTCGGATCGTGGTCCGACGTTGAGTTCGTCAGCGGTTCTACAAAGGTTGGTTGCGATCAACTCCCCTCGTACTGCGGTACTGAGGTAGGGTGCTGCGGGGCCGTGTTAATGCTAAAGGCATTAACCCTCATGTTCGGGGCATGCGATTGGTCCCGTGGCGCCATCGATGATTATGTGATATGAATGATGATTGGATGATAATGTGGATTGGAATTGAGAAGTGGCTTGTGACCGTAAATGCGTATTCCTTATGATGTTGTTATTATTGTCTGATATGCTTATCCCTATTTGCTGAGTCTATTCCTGGTTTTAAAACTAGTGTCTCTTAAGTATATATCTTCCTGCTTCGAAATGATTTTTGTATATCTATATATATATATATATATATATATATATATATATATATATATATATATATATATATATATATACTATATATACTATATTTCAACGCGTTGGAGTGGGTTACCAGCATCTCTCGCTGAACAGATATATTTGGCTTTCAGGCACAGAGGAGTAGACACTGGAGCGCGCTAGAGACTTGGAGCGTAGAGTAGATAGTTTCCCTTTCGGCCTGCGAGCCATGCTTATGTATTTACATTATTGAGGATATTAGTTAGTTAGCCTGTGCACCTGAGTTCTCTAACTCAGGTGTGGCATAGCACCCCGTACTCCTTTATATTATGTTTTGGGATTTAATGAGAATCTACCTTTATTATATAAGTCTTAAAAATTGAAAAATTTCGGGGTGTTACACCAGGTTCCTCTCACAATTCTGGAAATCTCTACAGACGGCCATGGGGACAAGACTGAGCTTAAGCACCGCCTTCCACCCCACTATCGACGGCCAAATCGAGAGGACCATTCAAACTCTCGAAGACATGCTAAGAGCTTGCATGATAGACTTCCAGGGGACATGAGAAGAACACCTAGACCATATCGAATTCTCTTACAACAATAGCTATCATGCAAGCATCCGCATGGCTCCCTACGAAACACTATATAGCCAAAAATGTAGGACACCCATATGTTGGGAAGACATGGTCAACCCAGTAACCCTGGGACCAAAATACCTACAGGACACCATAACTAAAGTCAAACGCATACAAGAGAAAATGAAGGCCGCCCAGGACCGCAAAAAATCCTACGCCGACCTGGGGAGGAAGCAGGCCGAATTATCCACAGGAGAGAAGGTCTGGCTAAAGATCTCACCCACTCGAGGGGTGATGAGGTTCGGAAAGAAGGGGAAACTTAGTCCCCGGTTCATTGGTCCCTACGAAATCTTTGAAAAAGTCGGAAACCTGGCCTACCGCCTCGCCCTACCCGCCGAGCTGGAATGGGTGCACAACGTGTTCCACATATCACAGCTAAAGAAATATGTGCACGATGCAAGTCACGTGGTACAACCCAAGGCGGTAAGCCTGGACGACACACTAACCTACGAAGAGAAATCCGTAAGGATCCTGGACACTAAGACAAGGACCAATCGCCAACGAACCACAGAAATGGTAAAGATCCTCTGGTCCAATCACGGAACCGAAGAGGCAACATGGGAATTTAAAGAAGCCATGAGGGAACGCTACTCCGAACTTTTCACGCAAGGTAACCGAGGCGAAACCGTAGGATAAGGGAGGTGGTCAATTCAGCAAACCTAAGCTTCGGGGACGAAGTTTTCCGTTAAGGGGGGAGGGTGTAACACCCCGTGTTACGGCCTCTAACCCAAACTAATTGTTTAATCACTTACCCTTAAAAGAGAATTAAATTCCCTTAATTAATTAAGGAAAGGTCCACCATAGACCATGGACCCTTATCCCTAAACCAAACCCTTAGTCCTATAAGGAATAGAATTAGTAAATCCCTACCATTCAGACCCTAATTAGGACTCTTAGATATATATAAGGACATAGGATGCACCTAGAATTCACACCACAATAGATTCCACCACACAGGAATTCCCAAGAATTCCCCTATCACCAAACGTAGGAGAAATCAAGAAGAGGAGATCTTAGAGAAAGAACCTTAATAACCAAGGATCCTAATTAAGGCTAAGAGGTAACCCATGTCTCAACAAAACCTATTTTCCTTGCTATAATCTTCTTCTTTGGCCCCTTGATATGCAATTCTATACTCGTGTCTTGATAAGGCTTTTATGATGATTGTGATATGATCTTGATGTTTATGAGATGATCTTATGTGTTGATCTTGGTGATCTCGATGGGGATCTTGATAATTGTGTGTTGATCTTGATAATCTTGATGTTCTTTATTTTAAAGATAAAGTTATGATCTTGTGCTTTAAATATGATTAGAGCTCTAGGTTAAATCGTGGATTTCGTATTGTGATATTCTTGGTATATTTGGGTGAGATTTTGCATGTTCGGGTGTTGATTATGTGTAGAAGTCATGTTAGGATGTATTTAATGTGATTCTTGGTTTTAATCCATTACTTGATTACGTGGTGTCGTCGTTCGTGTTTAAATGTGTCTAGACATGGTTTCGGGTTCCACGAAAGATCCCGGGACCAAAATTATTACAAAAGAGTCAGTGGGGGGGTAGGTGGGGGTAGGAGAACCCGCCACCTACCCGTTACCCCAAATAGGGCCACCGGCAGTGGGCAGTCGACTGCTCGCCGGGCACCCGCTGCCCATTATGGCGCCGCCAGCGGGCAACCGGCGGGTGGTCCTCCACCCACTGGCCACCCGTTGGTTTTTCCCAGTGTCGATTGGTGGTTTTCCCCGTTTGATGTTTCCCCGTGCCCCGTGGTGTCCCATCGGACCCCATTTGTCGTGCCTGAGTCTAGTTTGATGTTTCGGGAACCGTTCGTAAGATAAAAGAGTCTTGTGTATTGCATGCTAGTTGAATTGGTAACCCGTTAGCCTGGTGAAAGATGTATGAACCCCTTATGGCTATTCCTAGTATGTGGTTGACCACGCATAAGTTTTATTTATACGTTTTTCCCCCTCCCTATGTGCTAATGTGGGTTGCATGTGCTTGCTATGTGTTATGTGTGCATGATACCCCAATTGGTTGCGATCAATTGGCTATACGGGCAGTTGGATGGGTTGAGAACCATCGGCTGTTAACCAGGCCGGTTGCGATCGGTCAGGTATATAAATATATATAGGGCTACGGTCCACCGTTTGGTTGCGATCAAACGTTATAAATGAGCTGCGGTTCATAATCTGGTTGCGATCAGAAATACACACTTTTCGGGCTGCGGTCCACCGTTTGGTTGCGATCAAACGTTATTGACTGTTGCGGTTCATCGGTTGGTTGCGATCAACTCCTTTGTGCTGCGGTACGAGGCAGGGTGCTTCGGGGCCATGTTAGCGCTATATGCGCTGAACCTCATGTATGGGCATGCGATTGGTCCTGCGGCACCACCAAAGTGTGCTTATGTGATAATGATTGAATACCGATATGTTGATATTGCGTAAACTTGTGACCTTAGGGTGTATGCTAGTATCTTTATATGCGTGATTATAACTGATAAATGTGTTTGTCCCTACTTGTCGAGTCTATTCTCAGTTTTAAACTAGAGTCTCCTAAGTATATATATCTTACTGCTTCAAAATGGTTTTCTATATATATATATATATATATATATAGGATTATTTTCAAATACAAACACCCCTTAAAATACAAACTGTGTGCATGTTAGTGTGATAATGTGTGCTTCAGCTAATTTCATATATTGTTGGCAGTGTGCCCAGTGTGCATGTAAGTATGTTAATGTGTGCACGGGCTTTGATGGATAGTTGTGATTTTCCTCCTACGCGCTGTGTGCATGCAAGTATTTAAATGTGTGCACGAGCTTTGATGGATGATTGTGATTTTTCCTCCTACGCGCTGTGTGCATGTAAGTATGTTAATGTGTGCACGAGCTCAAGTTTTTATTTTAAAGGGAGTTTGTATTTTAAGTGGGTTTGTACTTGAATGCAACCATATATATATATATATATATATATATATATATATATATATAATATATATATATATATATATATATATATATATATATATATATATATATATATATATATATATATATATATACCTATATTGTATATATATATATATATATATATACCTATATTGTATTTTAACGCGTTGGAATGGGTTACCAGGACTATGTGGTCTAATGGTACCCGGGTTGGACTTCCATTTGGAAGATTATGAGTCCGAGCCTCAGTGGAGGCATTATTGGTTCTTTGTGTTTTGGTTCTTTGTGTTTCAGTAGGTTGAGAAAGTATATGAACAGATACTACAATGTAGTAGAGCCAGTAACTTTCAAAAAAAAAAATATATATATATATATATATATATATATATATATATATATATATATATACCTATATTGTATTTTATCGCGTTGGAGTGGGTTACCAGCATTATTCGCTGTGAATAGATATATTTGGCTTTCATGCACAGATGAATAGCTCCGGAGCGCGCTAGAGGACCCGAAGTTTAGTTAGTTAGTTCCCCTATCGGCCTGCATGCCATGATGATGTAATGACACTGGTTTGAGGATATTTTGATAGTATAGCCTATGCATCTGAGTTCTCCAGTTCAGATGTGGCATAGCACCCCCAAACACTTATGTTTAGTAATGCTCTGTTTCGGGATTAATGATAGTATTGCCTTTACTTCATAAGCTTTCAAAGTTTTAAAATTTTAGGGGTGTTACACGGGTCGTTATGGTCGGTGCAAATTATCATATATTAAGCTCGTGACCGTTGATGTTATTTCGATAAGAGTTAATTCCAGCAATGGTCCTCCGACTATTGTGATTTTCCAAAATTGGTCCTCGTCTTTTAATTTAGACAAAATAGACCCTTGACTATCAGATTTGTTCCAGCAATGGTCCTTCCGTTAAGCATCAGTTTAGTTGGCGTTAAGTATAAGGGTATTCAAGTCATTTCCTATTTTTGAATTACATATCAGCACATAACTCTCCCTTTGAATTGCGTCCATGAACCTCCAGCAAATGTATACTATCTCGACGAACCTCCATGAATCACCTCCATAGCAAATGTATGTACTCTCAACCAAGGCAAGAGATATTACATCACTATCTCTACCAAAAATATGAGGGTTTGTAGACAATTAAACAAACCTATAGTGTTATATATACACCCCCATTAATAGAAAATTCATAATCATAATCATAATAACTAAAAATCACTCAATTAATTCACAAACCAAGAAAATTATTAGCTCCCACCATTCACTCCATCTAAAATACATAGAGTTCTACTTTCCTCTTTCTTATCATTATCTCTCTGCATTATTACCAGCTCATATTTATGTGAAAACTATCATAATTTAGGTCATCCTCGCTCTCTCTTCTCCGGTGAGTGAAATATTCAGATTATGCTGAATTCTAACAAAACTTAAAAAATAGCATCAGGAAAATGCAAAAATCTATGGCAATTATGAGCTGAAAAAAGAAAAATAGGAATTAAACAAGTATGCATGTGATGCAATCAGTGTGCACAAAAAGAGTGTGGAGTGAGAATGTACTTGTAACACCCTAATTTTCTACTCCTTTTTAATTAAGTACAAAACTTAAATATCATAACTAATCCATCACATTAAATACTAAACATTAGACAAAAGGGATGTCACCGCCACAGTCACCACACACCGCGACTGCACAGGCTAAAGGAACTAACTAATCCAAAAATTTCTACATTAAATTAACTTGGGGGAAAAGTACCCCGGTGTCTATCACCAAACATAAAAACAAAAGTCTACAACCATAATAACATCATAAAACGAACAAGTTTAGACTACAGAATCAACTACACTAGTTTAACTCGAACAACTCTCAAACGCTGGGCCCACTTGAAAGGGATTTTGCAAAACAACAAGTAGACAAGTAGAAAACACCTGTTAGCACGAAGCTAAGTATAACCACACTCAACCCTGTAAAATACTATAGTATATACTTTGGAAAAACATTTGTTCACATTCCCAAATTAAGCAATTCACTCACTTAGACAAACTTTAAGATAAACCACCAGTTTTCTATATGCTCGCAACCTATAATATCAACAGGTATGCTTCACCAATAAACAACTTATTAACATAATCATACTAACACATAATCAACATAGCAAAACTCAACTCTACTCCATAACAATCTCATGCTATCAAGTTCTCAACATGAAATTAAGTATAATCAAATATCCATCATATAATCTATAACATACTACTCATGCCACCTCGTGCAATCAATTATCAATATGCGATCTTGCGCAAACATTCTCAATATGCAACAAGATGCAATAAGATAAATATACATATACTCTCGTTTCTAAATAGAATACTTTTATGTGGAGGTTTCTTAGAGTCACAAGGACTCACATGCTCTTTCTTTCTTAGTGTCGCAATGACTCGCTTTCTTATAAATGGATGAGGTAGGAACTTCACCGTAGCGTGAACGAACCTATCCGGGCACGGCGTATAGCCGGCCTAATACTCTGCTCATCCACAGAACCACTCTCTTGGTTCTATGCTCAAACTCTATGGAATCAGGTATCGAACTATCAGCGTGCACACCCCCTGACCAGGATTCCCAGCCTGGCGGGCAATTTCCAACCTCGTAACGTAGGAATACACCGCGTTACATGTCATCGGATCGCAATGTCCGGTCATCCTCTCATAAAGGACATAGTCCTAACGGGCCCTCCAAGACCTCACTGATATAGATAATAAATATATATCTCTCATGCATCAAGCTTATGCACGTCACATCTCAACAACTTTTCAATGCAACAAGGTAATGACATACCACATGCTCATGAATTTTGGAAAATAATACTTAGGCTCACGTTAGTCATTTATGCACTTATAAAACATGATATGCTTGGGATCTAATTTACTGTACACATGCTCCAATTCTATGTATCACTGTGAACTCTCAAAGAACACACAATCATGCTTGGATTGCAAAATAACATACTCTGTACATTTCTACCATCAAAACAGACTACAAGTTCCATTGAACATAATACAGACTCTAGTCATGCTTTTCCAACAACTCTTATTCACAAAATGTTCATGCTTCTCTATTTAATACTCAAATAACATCAGGAAGATAATAACAAGAAAATCACATAGGCAGTGCAAGTCTGATGAACTCATATTAGCATTACTGTAAACATTTCATCAAAATTTCTATCATAACATGCTCATTTCTAATCCAAATTCAACGAAAACAAAGGCCAAACGTGCGTCGTGACGGCCCCAAGGTACCGAGCCACAAGGGACCGTGACACCCGGTTCGAAACGACACGTAGCTGAGCCACAAGGACCCAGCCACTGCACAGGTAACCATCAACGGACCTATCGGCGGGACTAGGCAAGCCCCGCCGCCTGGAACCGTCCGGCGGCGGCCTAGGGCCACGACCCTTGCCTAGGGTCGTCTAGCCACGACTCTAGCCAACGGCTCCTCTCGTGGGCCGTTGGCTAGGCCCGTGACTCTCACTGGTGCACACTGAGTGGTGCACCAGTTGCTTCTTCTTCACCTGCAATGCAAAACCAGACAATAAACCACCTCCAAATCAACAACAACACATCATACAACATCAACAAGACATATAATAACTCAAACACACAATATTCTAGCATTTCTACTCATTTCTAGCTATTTCACAAAGGCTTCACAGAGCCAACACTAAGTTGGGAGTCTATGGGGTTATACCTCTTCTTGTCCTCCTTCTTATTGGGATTCCTCCTTCTTCCCAAGTCAGCTACAACCTCCTTCACCTCAAACAAGCCACACAACAACTTTTAAAACTAGAGTCTCAGAGATGGAAAAACAGGAAACTGAAAAAATGAAAGGCTAGGGAAAACTTATTGTGCTTCTTGCAGAACTTTTGTTTGGGGAAGACAATGAAGGGAATCAGGAGACAATGGTTGAAAACATCTCATTTTATAGGGCTCTAAACCCTAGGAGGATCACCACTCATTGGTGGAGAGCAAAAGTGGAAATGGGCAAAGCTGAGAAATCATATCAGACAAAGTGTTGGAGGGTTGTGGCTCACCATGCTACATGGACCATGGTTCAAAATTAGAATTTAGACTAGTTTAGGGTTGAAATTGAATTTTCCAAAAATAATTTCTAGTTAGACACATGATTTAGGCTTCTCAGATGTCTCGCGATTTCACTCAGATTGAATTTTAGTTCAAAACTTGGCACACAATGTACCGAGAATTTAGGATTTTTTGAATTAAATCTCTCGTCTCGCGATTTCACTCAGATTGAATTTTAGTTCAAAACTTGGCACACAATGTGCCGAGAATTTAGGATTTTTTGAATTAAATATCTCGGTGTTGAATTTTATTTTAAAAAGTCATTCGAAATAATTTATTCAAACTAGGGGTGGGCATTTCGGTTCGGTTCGGTCCCAAACCGAAGTACCGATCGGTACTCGATTTGGGTAACCCGATCGGTTCAGTTTGGTTCGGTTAAAACCCGAACCGAAGAACCGATCGGTTTTTTATATAATAAATATATACAATATACTTAAATGTCTTAAGTGAGGTTTGAACCCTTAACCACCAAATTTGAAGTTAAAAGCTTTACCCATTAAGCTAAACACACATTTATGTTAATGTTTACATTTGTATGTTAATAAAGGTATATATTATTTTATTAAATGTTGTAAACTTCAATTGTAATAGACAAAATTATCCCTACTACATTATTGTTAGACTAAAATACCCTTATACCGTTATAACATCGTTATTATTTAATTCTAAAACTTTCATAATTCTATCATTATTATCATACACCTATATCTAATTATCTATGATATCTTTTTCCTATTCTTTAATTATCATTTTATTAAAATCATTATATAATTAGTTTAATTGTTGATTATATTTTAATTAAATTTCTATGAATAGTAAATCATATATGTGTGTGTGTGTGTATATATATATATATATATATATATATATATATATATATATATATATATATATATATATATATATATAGGCACGCACACGCACCAATATATGTGACCGGTTACTAGTTAGTATTATATATATTTTATTTATTTATTGTAAAAACAAAGTATAAATTATATCAAAATTGTTTACATTATTAATAAACAAAATATCAATTTTGTTCATCTCTATATTTTTCAAATACGATAATTAAAATTTACTAATTTAAGGATTTTGCGAAATATAATTTGAACTATAATTTGTAATTATTTGCATTTATCAATTTTTTAATGTTGGGAAAAATTTTCGCGCATCACTCGTACAAAATGCTAGTATTATATATACATATTATAATAATTAATAATTTTAACTCCTCAAGTCCTCAGATCTCAACTCTAAGTCGTAAGTCTCAACATTTGGCATTTTAATAATTCTTATTTTTCAAATATTAACTATAGATGGATGATTCTTTATATTGTCATCAACAAAACACTTAAGTGGCACTCCAAGTGAGCCAACTGAACAATCGGGCAAGTAAAAAAGGAAACGTTTATTTAGTGGACTTCAACCAAAACCGAACCGAATACCGAACCAAAACCGAAATCGAACCGAACCGAACTTTTCAAACCGAAACCGAACTCTATTTTAAGCCGAATGGTTTAATTTTTTTAAAACCGAAAAATCGAAACCGAAAAAAACCGAACCGAAACCCGAAGTGCCCAGCCCTAATTCAAACGCTGTTCTTTTTGCAAAAAAAAAAAAAAAAAGGAATAAAAATGGCTATTTTGGAATTTCTTAAAATCGGAATTATAAAACTAAATTTTGGGTTGTCACAGTACCTGACGAAGCGGAAAGAGCAATCGCGAAGAGAGAAAAGGAGGAGGTTATAGGCGCGGAGGAGGAAGAGGCGGAAGAGGAGTATACGACGACAGAGAAGACACAGAAAGTCGAGAAGACAATGCCAACCGCCACAGTGGCGTAGATCGTCAGGAACAAAGGCTTGGAATTTGCCATTTCCTGAACCATTTCCTTCTCCAGGCAGAGACGTCGAAATTGATCGCTCTACACCTTCATCGTCCCGGCGTGGTCCCCCGGCAGCTGAGTGGAATCCAGTACAAAGGAGCAGTTACGGGCACGAAGTTTTGCAAGAGTCGAGCATACCAAGTCAACTACAACTGCGGTGTCTGAATCTGACTATTATGTACTTGGTGTATACTTGTTGAACTCGCTGCTGTGATGTATAGCGCTGTGTGGCCGGAGGTTCATGGAGGCGATTCAAAGGAAGAGTAGTGATGTGCTGATACGTAATTCAGCAAGAGGAAATGACATGAATACCCCTCTATTTAAAGCCAACTAAACTGTTGTTTAGCGGAAAGACCATTGCTGGAACAAATTTGATTGTCAATGGTCTATTTTGTCCAAATTAAAAGACAAGGACCAATTTTGAAAAATCACAATAGTCGGATGACCATTGCTGGAATTTAACTCTTTCGATAATAAGTACGACCGTTTCAAATGTTATTATCCAATTAATAAATTGAATTTATTATTGGTTTAATGTGCCATTAGTGGACTATTAATTCCTCCCTTCCCTATAAAAACTAGGATGTTGGCAGAATGTTTTAAACGATTCAATTTTTTTAAACTCTCAAAATCTTTCTTTGTTTTCTCCCAACTCTCAATTCGTTTGCAAAGAAAAAGTTTCTGTCAACATCTTCCGTAAAATATCGGAGTGCTCAACTTGTGTTCTTGTTCGCCGGGCTTTGGGTTTGAGTGCTCAAACGCCAAAGTCGTAGTCTGTTTTATCCTGGGAGACTGACGCCTCAACGCTCCTAGCACCATCAGGAGGTGGCAAATCGGTTTTAAGGAGAGTGTGTGTACACATGACTCGGATTTCTGCTTCTTTTTTTTCTTCTCGTTGGGTTAAAATCTCAGGTTAGAAACCATTTCTTTTTTTGTTCTTAGTTTCGTACCAAGTGGTGAGATTAATCTCGTAAGGATTAAATCCCTTGTACTAGTTTCGTACTAGTTGTGGTGGGATTATTTTTGATAAAATAAATCCCTATTTTGTTAATATATATATACTTTGTATATATATGTAATTTTTATTTTGTACCAAAATTGGTTGGAATTAATTTTCTATAAATTAAATTCCATTTTTCGGTGTGTGTGTGTGTGTGTGTGTGTGTGTGTGTGTGTGTGTGTGTGTGTGTGTGTGTGTGTGTGTGTGTGTGTGTGTATATATATATATATATATATATTGTTATACCATAGACCATCGTTTTATATTGCCTTGTGAACCCTGGTCTAAAAATTATATGTTTACAGTTAACACATTGTACGCGCAGTTAACAATTTTTGTACCTGTAAACAAATTGAAGTCACATAATATGGTAATTACAGACACATAATATGATGACTACAAACACATAAATTGTTAATTGCATGTACAAAATATGTTAACTGTATATACATAAGATGTTGGTTAATATGTTATGTGTTGTGCCTTCAATTTGTTTACAGGCACATAAATTATTAACTGTAGGTACAGAATGTGTCAACTACAAGCATATAATCTGAATGTTATTTTTAGATCAGGGTCTACAATGCAATGTAGACCCCGGTCCATGATATAATTTTCCCTTAGGCTTTCATCGTTATATCGTGGACTAGGGTCCACAATGCACTGTGGACCCTGGTCCTAAACGACATAATTTTGAATTTTAATTTTGATGGTGACGGTTTGTTGTTCAATTCACGTTACAGTTTTTTTTTTAAACTATAAAGCATGTGTATGTGTCTTGTGTTATGCGTTTCTATGTCTGATGTTATGTGATTTTCTACCTTAAGTGTATGGATTCTGTACATGAAATAAAGTAAATATAACATGCACTTTTGTGTCTTGTGTTATGCTTTTCTGTGTCTTATGTTATGCAATTATGTACCTTAAGAATATTGATTTTGTACCTGAACTAAAGTAAATATAAAACATGTGTATGTGTCTTGTGTTATGCGTTTTTGTGTCTCATGTTATGGAATTCTGTACCTTAAACGTATGGATTCTATACCTGAAATATATTAGTAGTTGTGTAACACATAACATATTATGTGTCTTATTTTACGAATTTATATCTTGTATTGTGAAATTATGTGCCTATAGGACATATAGTATCTACATAAATCAGATTTGAGAATAAGTAAATGTATAACATGTGTATATGTCATGTGTTGTGAATTTTTGTGTTTCGTGTTATGAAATTCTGTACCTTAATAGTATTGATAGAATAAATTAAAATTTATGTTGAAACATGAGAAATGAGAAACGAGAAACTATAAAATCTGTTAAAGTTTAAATATCAAAACGACGTTGTGTTTGATCTTGCGTTCATAATACTATGTGGATGTAAACACAAAAAAGCAAACTTTGTATATATTCCACAAAATTCCTTGTACAGTGTATGTATAATTCAATATGCAGGTACAAAATCTCTGTTTAGTCCTCTGATTCTTCACTGACGTTATCTATTGAAGTGCCTCCGGGATTCAAATAACGTAGCCTCCGGGATTCAATTGCCGCATGCCTCCGGGATTCAAGTGGCGTAGCTTCCGGGATTCAATTGGCGTGACTTTCAACAACGAACGTCAAGAATTTAGAAATAATCAACCCTGCAAAGTTTCAAAACACATGCAATGGATTCAAGTTGCCTTAAGATCCTCAAATGTCTTCAAAAGACTTCCAGATCCTTGAGACAATCAATTCTGCAAAGCTCCAAAGTACTTGCAATGGATTCAAATTGCATGCAAAATCAACAAAAATGCCTTCAAGTCTTCAAGCGTTCTTCAATGCCTTCAATGAGCTCTCAACTCTTCAGGTTTTCTCAATTGTCAAGCGTTCTTCAATGTCTTCAAGCTCTCAAGTCTTCAAGTTGTGTTTTGGAATGAAAATGAAGGCTCTATTTATAGTAAGAGCCTAACCAACATTCCTCAACAAACTCCCCTTTTAATTAATTAATTAGTTAATTATTTATTTAGGAAAATGAACCTTTTTCCCAAAATCAAGTCTAGGTTAATTATTTTTATAACCTAATTCAAATTCAAATTAAATTATAATTATTTAATTCAAATATAATAAAATTATATTATACTTAAATTATTATAATTATAATTCAAATTCAAACATGAAATGGGCTTGGACCAATTGATTAATTAATTCAATAGCCAAAGATCAAATTTAATTGGACTAATTAAATTAATTCAATTTCTATGATCCAATTAATTAAATTGACCCAATAATTAATCTCAACATTGGTCCAATAACAATTATGTTAGTCTACCTGTCGGGTTCAAATTTTCCGTGTCTACAGTGGACTCTGATCCACGATATAAATTGTCTTTGGGCTTAGAGTCGGCCTAAGGCCCAACAGAAAGCCCATATAAAGATCTTTTTATCACTAGTAAGTAGTAGTAACTAGTAAGTAATAAGTAATAACAGGCTGTCCAGTGAGAAAATCCAGGCCTATTACATTACGTATTGGGCCTACGATGCACTAGAAGCCCACAAACGATTCCCTCCATCCATTCCGGGGGGAAGGAAAGCAGATCTAAGGGCCAAAGGAACGACACGTGGACGGGTAGATTTCACCTCAACCGACCTTTCCGACGCTGAAAGGCCAATATTAGGTGAAGAGATAGGGTTTCAATCTCACGCATCCTTATTCTCTCTATCATCATCTCCTTCAACTTTCTCTCTCTTTCTAAATTTCTCTGCAACGATGGAGACAGAGCGCGTGACCGAGTTTCCCCTCCCGCAACTCGACCGGCGACCACGGAAGCGGCCTCGATTGGGCTGGGACGTCCTCCCTGAGGTCCCTAAGGTAAAAACACGTTCCGACCTTGGAATTCTTTGATCTCTTCAAGTTTTACGTTTTTTTTTTTTTTTTTTCGTATTTCGCTTCTGTTTTTGCTAGATCTCATCAAAGATTAGATTCTTTATCGCGTCAGGTATGATTAACATGTGTTTTTCCTGAAATTTTATGCACATAGTTTTGACTATGTAAAGATCTATATACATATCTATCTATAAATCATAATTTTTAAGTTAGATATTTAGGGATTAAGGTTGTTGTAAGCTCCGTGTATCTTGTGCGGTATTTAAATCTTAATTGCATAGTAAACATGCCAAAATTTTGATTTTTTTTTTTTTTTTTTTTTTGTTTTATAGCTTCAGATCTGATCTGATTGGTAGGAAATATTTAACTAGTTTTAACATCGTTTTTGTCTGATGCTAAGATCTAGTTTGATGGAACGTATAGTTGGCTACATAGAACAAATGTATGGTAGATAGGTTGCTTTATTGGTCATGTGTAAATAATTCCGATTGTTTTGATAATGGATAATTACCATTATCTTACTGTATTGTGTTAATCTTGAAAAGGTGTCTGATTACATTACATAAAAAGGATAGATCCACAAAATTTTAAATATTTTCATTTGGTCCTGTGAAGTTGAGAATTCTGTAATCTACTGCTATTCAATTTACCTCTTTGCTTTGATTTTTTGGCTGCTTGATGGTGAAGTTTGTATGAAGGTATCATTGAGGTAATGGAAAAATCAGTTTTATATTGTGGAAAACATGAATGGAATCCCTGTGTGTAGGCTCAGCTAGGATTGTTTTGTGGACAAGAGGTTGGGAGTGTGACAAGCTATGCATCTTCAAGGCAACCTTCCGACCTTACTGGTTCCCTTTTTGTTAAGGGAGTTGCTCAAAATGGTTCTCCCCCCAGGAGAGAAGATGACAAAGATGGGCATTATATGTTTGAGCTTGGAGAAAATTTAACTTCACGCTGTAATCATCTTTTACTATGATTGAAATTAGACCTTTTGTTTAGTCTTATAGATATAGTGGTTCTCATCATTTTATTGTGCATTAATGAATTTAGTTAATAGTTAACCATTTCCTATGAATTCGCATTTGGTATATCA